CTCTCAACCTTCCATGCCGAGGTTGGGTGTGTGTGGTCCCTCATTTGACACATTGACACATCCCGCAACGACCCCAACCAACAATTCATCTCAACTATGCCGGCAAGCGACCGTTTGGACAGCGTGTTTGCGGCGCTCCTGGCTCGCCGGGAGGCCAAGAGCCAACTCCGGCGCCTGACCCTCGTCCCGGCCGGCAGCGCCGACTTCTCGTCCAACGCGTACCTTTCTCTCTCGACCCACCCGGAGATCCAGCGCGGGTATCTCACCCGGATCCAGGCCCACCTCAATCCGATTGATGGTGCTGAGGACGGAAACACCCCGGCTCTCCTCGGCTCTGGTGGATCACGCCTCTTGGATGGCAACGTATCGCTCGCAGAGTCTCTCGAAAGAGACATTGCGTCTTTTCATGGTGGACAAGCTGGGCTGCTCTTCAATTCGGGGTTTGATGCGAATGTTGGGCTCTTCAGTTGCGTCCCTCAGCCCGGAGACGTCATCGTGTACGATGAGTTGATCCACGCCAGCGTGCACGATGGGATGAAGATGAGTCGAGCCGGGAGGAAGATTGCCTTCGCCCACAATACGGTTCATCCGATCGAGAACGCAAACGGAGATCGGTTGTGGGACGAGACAGCAAGAGGCCAAAGCCCGAGTCGAAGCTTGAGCGAGGTTCTGTCTGAATTGACTCGCGATGACGCAGGCAAGGCCGTGAGAGAGGGCACAAGGAACGTCTTCATCGCTGTGGAGGGAATCTACAGTATGGACGGAGACGTGGCGCCTTTGAAAGAAATAGTAGAGTGTGCTGAGAGACAGCTCCCGCACGGGAACGGCCTCATCATCGTCGACGAGGCACACTCAACGGGCATATTGGGTGACAGAGGTCGGGGACTTGTCTGTGATTTAGGCTTGGAGGATCGGGTATGGGGACGAGTTCACACATTCGGCAAGGCGATGAGTTGCGCCGGGGGTAAGCTGCATCCGTTTCACACTCTTCTTCAGGTTTATTGACTGACTGGTTCAGCCATCATTCTCTGCTCTCAGATTACAAGATCGTACTTGATCAACTACGCCCGAAGTCTCATCTACACCACAGCCATGCCATTTACAGCACTTGCCAGCATACAAACGGCGTACAACTTTATCATTGACGGCCGCTCTGAGCCCCTGCTCCGCCATCTATGGTCACTCATCGATCGCACACATCAGCTTCTCCAAGAGCTTTGCAGCCAACATCAACCAGAAGCAGGCCTTCTCTATCTCTCTTCAGAGAAGCCTAAGTCACCAATAATACCGCTATTCACGTCCAACCCCAGAGGTCTGGCACTTCACTGCCAGCAGCGGGGCTTTATGGTTCGGCCCATCGTCGCACCCACAGTTCCAGCAGGAAGCGAGAGAGTGAGGATCTGCATCCATGGAGGAAATACCATCCAGCAGGTCGAGGGACTGGTATCGGCTATAGAATGCTGGCTCGTTACCCAGATCAAAGAGACCGAGAACAAGACCAAGACAAGCATCGAGACTACAGCAACGGAGTTGAAGTCAAGATTATGAGAGCCGGATGATCGCATTGGGAATAGAGAGGCTTGAAAATATACACAAAGTTTCGATGTACGGTAAGAAAAGGTCGGTATATAAAATGGTAGCGTGAGGCACTGAAGGTCGGTCAAAAAGATTGAATAAAGGTTGATCATCAATACGGGCAAGCCCGTGGTCTCATGCTCCGCAGGTCTCATGTACTACAAATAACGGCCGAAAGTATCTATCTTTAAGCCAAAAGGAACTGGCCCAGGCACACCAAGGCAATGGATGACCACATCCAAGAGAGCCCGTGGAAGTTCTCCGTAGCAGAGCTCTTTCCAGGAGGGACGACTGTTGGGGGCGCGGTCGAGTTTCCTCCCCTGCCGCCACCGCCAGCAGTACCGTTTCCTTTTCCTTTTCCTCCACGAGGTTCGGTGCTGTTTCCTTTGCCTTTGCCGCCCTTTCCTCCTTTACCCTTTCCACCGCCAGGCTCGGTGCTGTTGCCCCTGGCCGCACCGCCCTCACCCTTCCCCTTTCCTCCTTTACCACCCTTACCTCCTCCGCTAGGCTCGGTACCGTTGCCCTTCGCCGCGCCTCCTTCACCCTTTCCTTTGCCGTTGCCTTCTTTACCACCTTTTCCTCCACTGGGTTCGGTTCCATTGCCCTTGGCTGCGCCTCCTTCACCCTTGCCCTTGCCCTCGCCCTCGCCCTTCTTGCCGCCCTTGGCTGTACCGTTGTTCTTCTTGTGCTCTTCATTATCGGCTTCAGCCATCATACGAGCAACATCGGTAATGAAAGCAGCCTTCGGGGGTGCGGGAGGTGCGGCTGGGGGTGCGGCTTGTGAGTTGACCTTCTTCAGCTCCACAGTCGCCTTCTGAGCGTCCGTCGCCGGGGTCTCGATGAAGGGGATCATGGGTGCGAGCATGGCGCAGTTGTCTTGCTGGGCAGTAGGCATGCCCTCCATAGTGCCAGTGTTGTTCTGGAACAGAAGTCTCTGCTTTCCGTCGGCCGTCCACGCCTGCCACTCAGGCATGCCTGCCTGGATCTTGGCGGCGTTGGGATCGAGCGTTCTCACGAAGCTGGCCCAGTAAGCCTGAGTCAACGGCACAATAGGCGCGTTGGTGGTCGAGTAGCTTTTCGGAGGGGCACCGTCGGTGTTGTTAGGACCGAAGACGCCGTTCAACTCCACGGTGTGGTATGCACCGAATCCCAGAGCCTCCTGTTCATCATCTATCGGGCCATAGCGGTAGTTGAATGTCTTCACACTATCGCGGGCCTGAGCATCTTGGAAGATCTTGGTGATGCAGTGAGCTCTGAAGTCACCGTGCGCCGTGGCAAGTTGACGCCACAGCTTTCCGGACTTGGGGAAGACGGGCTGCTGCACATCGAGGTACGTCTGCTGAAGCACTGTCAGAGATGCATTGCTCAGTGACTGCGTCGCCTGGTTGTTGATCGTCTTGAGGGCATCCTCGATGGTGTCGGTGCTCTGGGGGACGTTCTTGGTTCCCTCATCGGTACACGTTCCGGCGATGGTTGGAACTTTGAGGTACTTGCCCTCGGCGAAGCGCTGCAAAGTTGGCGCTTTGACGAGATCGCCGTCGAGGTTAGGGTTGAACTGGCAGTTCTCCGTCTGTAAAGCCTTTGCATCAAGGCCACGGAGGCATGCGAGAGAGTCGGGTTGCTTGTTGCAGCCGGTAGCATTAGTCAGGCAATTGTACTGCTCTTGGCCTTGCTCGAGGGTGCGAACAGTGGCCACGCTGACGGATTCCATGATTGCGCCCTTGATCAAGCCGGGGTCGTTGTCACCGAACGCAGCGAGGAGCATGGCAACAGAGGTTGCGCCGGCCGAGTCTCCAACAGCTACCATCTGGTCGGGGTTTCCTCCGAACTGGTTTCATGTTAGTTACTAATGCGACCCCAGTCAGTTGTACTATGTAGAGAAACCTACCGCAGCAGCATGCTGTTTGAGCCATTTCAAACCCTGGATCTGGTCCTTCAACCCGTTGTTCATGCTCGCGCCAGCCTGAACCTCCTTGCTCTGCAAGAAACCGTAGGGTCCAACACGGTAGTTGACCTGGACCACCAGCATGTTTCCAAACCTGGCTAGATCACTGCCGTTGAAGTTGGCGTTCGAGAGCGACTGGAAACCTCCGCCTTGGATGAAGTACATGACCGGCAGCTTCGAATCTGGAGTCGCATTGGATGGCGCGAAGATGTTGACATACAAGCAGTCCTCATCCGTGGTGAACCGCTTGTTGGGCTTCATGGTGAAATCTGACGCGCTTCGAGCGAGACATATCGGGCGGAACTAGACAAAATTTGAGTGAGTGGGCACATAGATGCCGGAAGGGAACAAGCGGATGTTACCTGAGAAGCATCTTGAACATCGGTTGTAGCGGGAGGGTCGACGGGCGCGGCGAATCGAAGTTGACCAGTCGGCGGTGCCGCAAAACGAACGCCCAACCACCGAGTCGCACCGCTTGGCTCAGCGACGCCCTGAAGTTTAGTGTAGCCAAGGTCGACGAGCGGATCAACCGCCTGGACCTGGCCGATGATTCCGGCCGAGAGAATAGAAAGGAAGGCTTGGGTTAAGGAAAACATTATTGCGGAAGTGACCGACTAAAAATTGATAATAAGAAAAGACCCGGAAATCATGCCAACATAACGAGAGGCTCGCTCGACATCGTCTGAAAGTTGAAGTTGCAGCGCCATGCCATCTGTTATACTGACATACCTCGAACACGGACTCACAACGGCGTAAAAAGACCGGGTTATTCTTGACTCGATCTCTTACTCACCGCGCCCCGACCGGCGCGCTCACCGGAGAGTCTGGGCTTCATTTTTGGGGGCTGCGGGGGTTTCAGACGGGTTTGATGCCATCTGTCGTGAGGTTCTGTTCCAGGCCACGAACCTAATTAGGAACCAAGGCCAGGACCCCTGGCTTATGATTCTCGTTAAGCCGGGTTGGTGATTAACTGCCGCATTTTCCCTCCGAAAACATGGATTCCCGCCGAATAGAGTTTCGTCCTAACTCTTCCCCCCAGGTCCCCAGCGACCGCTCTCGTCACGAGTTGTCTCTTTTGTGCTGCGGCCCTCTTATTAGACGAACCCCCCCTGGCCAAGAGTTTCAAATTGACAAGTAGAGCCTGGCTAAGCTCATCATGCAGCCACCTTCGGATGGCACCAGATCATGCCATGCGGGCAGATCGGAGTCAAAGGTGACACATGCATGTGCGCCTCACCGTCTAGGGCGCGACTTGCCTGCACGCCGCCCGTCGGATCTATCCATCGGACAGATCTGAATCTACTATTGCACCGCTAATGAATGAGCCAGAGTTGTCGCCAACTTGAGAGGGTATCTTGATTAAATGCGAAGGACTAGCCTTGGCCAGCTTTAATGTCTATGTACAGCCTCTGTCTTAAGTAAATACGGGTTGAAACGAAAATTGGGAATCATCGATAAAGCCATTGGTCTAGAATGAAAATCATTCATAGACGTAGCAGAAGGGGGATCCTCCGACGGTGCTCATCAGATCCTTCATGACGAGCGGCCCACCAAGGGGTGAAATATCGACAGTGTCCTCCACCGTGACGTTTCGGCTTGGCGGGTTGTTCTGCAACGTTTCGGTGCCAAAAACCTCCTTCAAACGAAAACATGGTCAGTCTAAATTTGTCCACAGACGCATCCCGCGGAAGGCTGGGCGAAACAAAGAAGAATCCAAGAACATACCTGTCGGTTTGCAAAATCAAGCATCTGCCAGATCCAGTAGACGCGGTCAACCTGGGCGTGGTGCAGGAAGAAGACCGGCTCTCCAGGTGAGATGAAGGGGTCCGAGCCAGGATCACCTGAAAGACGTTGGAGTCAGTGTAAGTCCCACAGATCGTGTCAAGAGGCTGAAATTGGCAACAAGTGCGTAAATCCGAGGGATCAGGCCGAGCCGCCGTGGTGATGAAGGCAGATGGGCAGAGCCGCCGACACTGGGCCCAGCCCACCGGCTCCGATCACCCACAAGACCCGGCGCAAATCGCGATTCCAACACTTGCATGCTCAATTAGATCAGAGTTGAGAACTTACCACCGATGGTGTAATGACCACCTCCGTGAGCGCCGAGCTCGACTCCAGAAACGTAGCGATCGTCACCCTGGAAGACGGCCTGGAACCACTCCACGTTGTCGTTTTCCAAGATAAGGCTAGTGACATTGCGGAAAGAGGTGTACCGTTGGGCAATGTGCTTGTTGAGGTCGCGTTTGAGGCAGCGGGGGTTGTCGTCCGTGGGTTTCGCGGCTGCGGTTCTGTTCGTAGAAGAGCCGTACACCGGCATCGAGACGGGACCTACGTGGACCGTCATGTTCGCGAACGGGCCGGACTCAACACAGCCACCACCGGAGCCGGGCTCGAGCTTGATGGTGGTGTTGGAGACGGGTTGCACAAGCTGCAGCCCCTCGTGAGGGATGAAGGCGCCGTTGCCTCCCATGGAAGTCTCAGATCCGTCAAATACGGGGGACTTAGCCGGGTCTTCGACGTCGAGACTCCAATCCCAGTACGGGAAGGTTCCTGCCGTGGTTGGTGAGACCTTTTGATATGTGAGACGAAGATTGAGCCGGGTCACTTACCTCGGTAGCCACAAACAGAGCGCAGCTTCTGCTCGTAGATCCAAGTGAAATAACGATGCCAAGTCAGAAAGTTTGCCTAACGTTTCACGTACTTAGTTCCGATGTTGAACATCTTGGGCCCTTGGCTAGGCATCTAATGGAGTACATACCGTGGCGTGTATCCTCCCAGTCTGGTTCATATGAATCAAAACGAAGTCGTCGAAGAGGGACTTGGCCGCGGGCATCTGAACAGCATCGAGCAAGGTTGGCGAAGATTGGAGGCACTGGACTGCGGCAACGAAAGACTTGCGTTCTTCCGCAGGAAGAGTTCTCCTGTGACGCAACTGTTAGACGTGAAGAAGCAATGGTGAATGATGCTGGATGTGTCTCACCATTCTTTCCTAACCTGAACCTTGTCAGGCGTGCAGCTTGAGTTGACACCCGAAGCTGCATTCAAGGCCTTTGCCGCCCGAAGCGCATCGGCGCCGAGTTGGGTCATGGCCTCGCCCTTGTCGATGGCAGCTTGGGTAAAGTTGTAAGAGCTCGTGGCAGCAGCCGTGGCAGTGGCTTGAGCCGCCACAAGAAGCCACAGGCATTGTCGGAGGACTGCCATGATGTCAGGGTCGCTTTTTCGGATGAACTGACAGAAGCCAAGACTGACTCCCTCTGATCAATAATCTTCGGGAGTGCAGCCGGCCACAAGAGCTTTATGTCGAATTGACTTGCCGGGAAGACAACTCACAGCCGGCAGGCTGCCGCTGATCTCGTCGGGTCCCCCAGCGGAACCATTTCAAGGATAGCTGTGCTCGCTTAGGGCCTCTTTACGCAGCCCTGCGATACTATCGTCACTTTCACATTGGCCAGTGTGCTATCAAGATCCATTTTAGCCAAGTTTCCCGTTCCATGTAGATGGGTTGCGGACTTGGTTCAAATGTTGTTTACTGGGTCCCTAAGGCGCAGAAGTTGGTCCGAACGACGTTGCAACTTGCATGAGACCTAGTCTAATTGTGGCAACTCGGAAGCCAAGACGTAGCTGTGCCAATCATGAAGGGCTGGATGGGGGAGTCTTAATCTGTTTTGGCTATCGATATCAAAGTTAAATTTGGTATCGCCACATGGGCCCCATACGCGGGTTTTTAAAAGCGACCACATTCTCCGTCTTGGGCCATCACTGTAAGCAATGACAAAATCAAGCTAGGACATTTCTCTCCACAATTGCCATGCTAAGCTAGGTAGTAAGCATACAGCACGTGGACCATAACCCATATTTGATTCTTGACGCCATTGATTCACGCTGTCCGAGTTTGTTCCTGACCAAGTGGCTGTCGCTGCAGGTTTGGTGGTGGACCCGTAGCGAGTCAGAATTGTCTGTCCGCTTCCGAGGTCCATCAGGGGGTTGAGCTTCGGCAGTTGCAAGTCGTACGCTGCCAATCGATAACCCAAGAACTGTTTTTGAAAGATGTCGAAGACAAGTGATTCAGTTTATCTTGTTCATTGCCTTTGAAAGAAATCTTTGAATGTCCGACAATGTGTCGTGTGAGCTGAATTGAACACCAGCATCAAATGACGCAGAGCTGAAGCTGCTAGTTTGCGAACGCCGATCGATAGTAACAATATATTATATCATATTGCGCTCCCGCTTCAATGCGACAAGACGCGGATTTCGAATATATGCGAGTCATTGGTTTCCAATATATATACACGATTTATAGTTACAAAATTACCAAGCCCCCCTGGCTATGCATTTTCCCGCAACGTTTCCGCAACGTTGATACTTCGCTAAATCTTTGCAAACCATCCTTCACCTTTCTTCTTGGTTTTGACTACCCGTGCCAGCGCTAAGAAGAAGGTTCCGATCATGAGACAGCTGCCCGCAAAGGCCTGAGCGCCGTAGTATCTTCCGCCGCACGCGGTGATGATTGCGCCCGCGATGGGAGGTCCGCTCAGCACGGCGAAGCTGACAATTGTAAATATCATTCCGATGCGCGTCCCCTGCTTGCTTGGGTCTGTTGTCAGAGCACTGACGCCGGCCGGGAAGAGAGCTTGGACGGCGTTGCCCACGAAACCGAATACAACGGTCCAAATGTAGAGGCCGGTTGGTGTCTTGACGGCAATCCAGCAATATGTCAAAACGCCAGAGAGAAAGGCCATGGGTGTAAACACGGTGATAGTTCCCACCTTGTCGGCGAACCAATTTGGAACTAGACGTCCGATGAAACCAATGCCGTTTAATATCAGAAGTAGGTTGAGCGAGTTCGGGTATGAGAAGCCGAGTTCGTCTCGACTATACGAGCCGGCGTAGTAAAAGGCGAAGTATACCCCCATGAACGACTATTAATAATGTCCAGTTAGTAGAGTTAAAACAACGTCGCTCTGGTTCCAACTTACGAAAAAGCCGCCGGCAGCGTAAAAGGAATATTCCAACTCTTGGAAGGCCCTGAGGTCCACCAACTGGGCCTTTTTTCTTGGGGGCAGCCGAGGCTTCAAAAAGATGAATCCAATCGTCAAGGTTGCCAATTGAATGAAGCCCAGCGTGCGCATCGCCCAGGGAAACCCAGCTGAAGGAAGCAATTGTCTAACGGTGCTTGGAAAGACGAGTCCACCCGAGGCGCTGCCGACAGCCGCGATACCAATAGCCACAGCTCTTCTCTTGTCAAAGTACGTAGACAGTACCGCCAACGTTGGGCAGAATGAGAGGCCGTTCCCTAGGCCAACGCAAACGCCGTGAGAAAGAAGAATTTGCCAGTACTGAGTGCACCATGAGGTTGCAAATGTGCCGAGAAGAATCAAGAAAGATCCGCAGAGAAACAGAGGGCGAAAGTAACCTGCGTCTGTGAATCGGCCTGAAAAGGCGCCAATGAAGAACAGCAGGAAGACTTGAATAGAGCCAATCCAAGAGACGTCGGCAGGTGGTCGCTTCAGCAGTTCAACATAGTATGTCTGGAAGACTCCGAAAGAGTTGATAAAACCCCTGCAAGTATGACAACATCAGTTTTTGTGGAAACCTGAAGCAGCGGCGGACCCTTACCATGTGTCCATGAAGATGAAGTGAGCGGCGAGAGCTACATTTAGAAAGCAAGTCAGAGACGAGACCTCCATCATTCAACTCAACAGTCTTCATGGGCTCTTACCAGCCATCCATGCAGAGTAGCCTCCATCGGGTGGAGGGCCAGGGTCTGTAGTCGGGACCGACGCGATTCGACTCAGTACGCGCCCGACGCGACTCTCTGTTGCGGCCGCCTCGACATCCACGAGACCATGATTCCGCGACGAGTCTGATCTCGTCTCCTTGTCTGTACTGTCCATCTTGCCGGACTGGGCTTCCTGCGCTGTCATCGACGGAATGTGGTTGGTGGCGTCATAGAATGGGGTCCGACCGGTGACTTTTGAGGCGGTTGTACTGAAGTCTGAAGCAGTTTGTTGCAGTTTGTTCGGTTTGCTGGGGTGTTGCAATCGAGCTGCCGATTGCCCTTGGCAATGTCGTCGGTTTTGTTAGCTTTGTTGTATTTTTTCCTCACTGCTTACCGAGGGTGCAGGAACACAAGGGTTCAAGAGAAATAGGCATACTCTATGATGCACCCCGCGGAGTTACTAATCTCAAAAGATCCCCCGGCTTTTGAATCTCTTACGCGAACTTTGCAGTCTCGGGCCGGTACCGCACGGTGGACCAACCAGATGCCGACGCGCTTCCGGCCTATTTGGTAGCTTGGCGGGAATAGCCCGGATTCTACACACTTGCTCGGGCCAACGCTTCTACCTCAAAGAATTGAGCGTGCCAATTGACTGAATGGATTTATTTCATGCGTCTTTCATGCGGTCAACTCCCCTCAGGATCTAAATTTTTCATTCCCAATAAACTGGTGAGCGCAATGCGGGCAGTCTCACAGTCATCAGAGTGTCGCTACAATGCGGGGATTAAGCTGTGAGTTTGTTGTCCCATGTATCCGACCAGCACAGTGATAGTGCTGACGAGATGACACTGCAAGTTGATGATAGTCTACAGATCGTATTTTTCGCCTAACGCGACGCTATGAATGAACGAATGACAAGTGCGTCACATGCGTCCGAAGCGGCGGTTCGGGCTTTGAAAAGTGACTCAGATATATTTGCTAAGCGGCACGGGGTACCGGAAGTATGGCGCCCATTTCATACTGCTTGGTTGGTCCCAGAAAACATGTCAAACATAGGGCGCGGAATGCATATCATAGTTCACTTCCATTACTGACGAAAACAACCGATTGGAAGTAAATGCCTTCATGCTACAATTGAAGGTGAATCTGGCCGTCTTCGCCTAAAAGCATTGCACTTTATTGACAAGGTGTCAAGAGTTGCGACAAGACGGAAGACACTATCCAGAGAGCAATGCAGTCAATTCAAAGTGCTGATGATTTTAGTGGTGTAACCTCAACTGTAACTTGAAGTGTCCTCAATTCAAGAATGAATACATAGCAACAGCAATTGCCGCAACGTTGAGCAGAACAGTCTCTCTCTAATTGAAGCCAATCGCGAAAACATCAGTACGCAATGATGAGGAGCAAGTTACCATGGCTGAAAAAGTGAGTTCAATCTGAAAAGTCAGCGGCTTGAATATTATACGCCTCAGTGACCGTATACCGTTAGTCTAGCTCTGAGCCATTCGGATCCAAATGAGCATTTGTCATCCAAGGCTTGACTGTCAGCCACAACCTTAAGCTCTTGAGACTCTGAGAAGACTCTATTCGGGCGATATTTGCGATGACTCGCGATACTTGCTTATCGTCAGCGGGAGAGGACGTACGGGCAGGGCGCCTCTGACATCATACCGTGAATGAGACGTACTGAGTGAGATCGCGGACGGGTTAAGCGGGTCACACATACCGGTATTAAGACCGGAGGCGGAAGAGCAGGCCCATTTATGCGGGCCGGTTCCTCCGGGGTTTCTCGTGGAATCTCAAGGAAGAATACCGGCAGATTGATTCGCCAAAAAAATAGTTGCATGTCAACGCTTTTTTGATATCCATTATCGGGACGCATGGGATATGTCGCATGCCGGGACCACATTTAGTGATAAATTACGTGACGGACATGGGTTCCCAAAAAGGAAGTGCGTTTGTGCGACCTTCTTATTGGCTGCTCAAATCTGTAGATTGAAGAGGTCTAGAGCTATGATTGGTCGGAACTTGGAAGGATCACAACCCTTGATCGCCGAGCTCCCTAGTCTTCGGGATCCTCCGTCTCTAATTCTCTGTTGCCTGTTGGCGAGAGGGTCATTTCAGGGGCATTTGACGAAGCTTGATTCCTTCTTGATATGCCAATTCCAGCTCTCAGACCACCACGTTCGTTGGAGCTTTTCGGCTGCATTCCTTCCTTCTCTCGTATTCGCATGCTACTCGTCTACGGTTGTCTTTGGGGCATCTCGCGTTGTACTAGCGCCTAATTCAGTGTATCGTATCTTGACAGAATGGATGCGAGTTCCGCATCTACGAAGGGTAGCGACAGCGGAAGCTCGTCTAGAGCCCAATCGCGGAGCCCTACCGGTCCAGATGAACGGTACGTACGGGTTGGAGCAGGTAGAGTCGAGCGCTGTGATGTGTCAGTGCTAAGGGACGGTCCGAACTGGGAAGGATCGGTCCC